ATAATAATAATAATAATAATCATAATAATAATAATGATAATAATAATAATAATAATAATAATAATAACATAATGTTACTGATAATAATATTATTCATTTCGATATTCGATAACACCAAGATGACCCCCTCCCCCATCCAAACTTAACAATGGCAATGAATTGATGTCCAAAGATAGATCTAAAAAGATATAATCTTTATTTTAATGATTTTATCCATTTTGAAAATCAATTATTTTCTCGTCGTTAAATCCTCTCTTATAATGCAATCTATTCATACTTTTATAAACATTTATTAGCCGCTGAGTAAAACTATTTGATTATCTTCAGAAATATTAAGATCTTCCTTTGTAAATCCCCCAGATTTGTCCGAAACTGAAGAATTTATTGAACTATATTAGTCGAGCGGTACTTTATGCATTTGTCACGCCAATGGAAGTCTAGAAAAACAATGAAACTCAGGAAAAAAATAAAAAAGAAATTTTTTTCCGTAATTTTCAGTGACCCTTCAATTAAAAGGAGGGGTCACCAATGAATTGAAATATTTTAATTTAAATCTTAATTTGTCAAACAAAGCTTTTCGGGTTTTGACTGATTGCAATTTAAAACAATCAAAACCTATTCAAATACAAGAAATACGCAAGTGCACTCATATCAATAGTCAGCGCTGCGTTCAAAAAACGTCATTTTTCTAATACAGTGTTTTTAAAAAATCTAACGTTTTGTTCGGACCTCGAACGACCGAAATCATTTCAAAAATGTCATTTTTTGAAATGAAGAACAGAACGCTGAGGATATCTCACAAAGAAACTGATGCCATTCTGTTCAACATAACAGTGGTCGACCACATGACGTTTCTTAATTGTGGTCGTATGAATTATCCATATATCAGAAAAGAATTTGCCGTGAGACATCTGGCGGCCAAACTATCGTCCTCCAAAGTACGACCACTGTTCATACATTATTAGGGAGAGGACGGGCTCTGAGTCTTTTCAACAAACTTTGATTTTCTGATCCCCATATCTTCGCAACCCACTCTCGTATAACCTTAGATATTCTAAACTATTAATTCTGCTTCATCAAACAATGTACGTTTGAAGTAATCACCAACAGATAGGTATATAACAAGTATAGGAATCATAAAATCAGAGGTTGTGGTAAATACCCAATTCCTTTGTTTATCTCAAACAATTTCTTCTAAATGCTAATATTTAAAGTATTGAAGGTTAATGTTAATGTTAATGTTAATGTTAATGTTAATGTTAATGTTGAAGGTTAATGTTAATTCCATGAGTTTCAAATTTAAAATATATTATTAAAATGTTCATAACACACAGATTTTACTAGCTTTAACTTTCAATCACAATTTGACCTCTTTGCATAAAAATGATTATTTTGTTTATCAAATTAATGTAACTTAATACATCTATAGCTCTGGTTAGTCTAGGCGGAAAATGAACTATGACTTATGTTTATCAAATTAATGTAACTTAATACATCTATAGTCCTGGTTAGTCTAGGCGGAAAATGAACTATGACTTATGTTTATCAAATTAATGTAACTTAATACATCTATAGTCCTGGTTAGTCTAGGCGGAAAATGAACTATGACTTATGTTTATCAAATTAATGTAACTTAATACATCTATAGTCCTGGTTAGTCTAGGCGGAAAAATGAACTATGGCTGGTGTTTATCAAATTAATGTAACTTAATACATCTATAGCTCTGGTTCGTCCAGACGGAAAATGAACTATGACTGATGTTTATCAAATTAATGTAACTAATACATCTATAGTCCTGGTTAGTCTAGGCGGAAAAATGAACTATGGCTGGTGTTTATCAAATTAATGTAACTTAATACATCTATAGCTCTGGTTGGTCCAGGCGGAAAATGAACTATGACTTATGTTTATCAAATTAATGTAACTTAATACATCTATAGTCCTGGTTAGTCCAGGTGGAAAAATGAACTATGACTGGTGTTTATCAAGCTAATGTAACTTAATACATCTATAGTCCTGGTTAGTCCAGGCGGAAAAATTAACTATGGCTGGTGTTTATCAAATTAATGTTACTTAATACATCTATAGTCCTGGTTAGTCCAGGTGGAAAAATGAACTATGACTGGTGTTTATCAAATTTGTTATTTGTTTGTAATTTGTACCTTTAAAGATTATCTTTCTAGTCTAAATTTAAATGTCCTGAAATAAGGGAATGTGAAAAATGTTAATCCAATACCCAATAATAACTCCCTTTCTATTAAAACCCTAATCTTAAACCCCCCCCTCTTCCCACCTCCCAGCCCTGGTCCCCCATTTCATCTACTTCTCTATGATTTAAATATCCCATGGCTCCATTTCGAAAGTTTAAAATAAACAATTTCCTGTTTAAAATTAATCTCAGGAAATCCGCGATTTATTAGATTGTTTTTTTAACTATCTTAGAAACCCAGCTTTGCCTGAAAAACAAACTTTTTCATAAGTTGACTACGTCTCAATTTTTAAACCCATCAAAGAACATTCCAGTGGTTTTATACACCGAGTTCCACAATTTGAGGCAAATGGGTTAATGGGTTCATTAGGATCGGACATACAAACAGCCAAACAGCTAGATTCCTACTTGATACAAAAATGTTCTGTTTTACAGTTTAAAGATATGAAGACGATATTGAGGCAACCTTTTTTATTTGAATTCATGCAATCTTAGAATTTCAGGGTTTGTGAAAGCTCTGCTAAATTCGTACTAGTCCGACCCTGATTTGAGACTGTGCCGGGATTATTTCCGCTGCATGGGTCATTTCATTAAAAGTACGACATGTCAATTTGATGAAAAAGATATCTGTATCCGCCTGGCTTGTCCTATGACCGGGATTTATATGTATCTCTTGTTTATATATAGTGATTTGTCATAAATCAAATTATTATTTAATTCAGTGTTTCAACACGGATATTTTGATATACTGACTAATTTAAAAAGTAAAATATTAAGTTTGCACTTTTAATTAATTTTTTTCAAAACGTGGTCTGCTAAATGAATCTGTAATATTGGATTTAATGATAAAAAATGTAATTATATTTCACTAGCAAATCTAAGGCATATCAGTCAGATTAGTCATCTTTAGGCCTAGTGCTGAATGTTTTTTGACCAAAAAAAGGCCTGCGGAAGAAAGCACACCGAAATTAATTGCACAATTGACAGTTACACAAATTCAAACCTGAAGGTCACAGGCAACGCTGAGTATCTGTTCGCTTTGGTTTTAAATAGTGTAGTATATGGGTACGGGAAAGAATTTATTCGGTTATAATATTTACTAACAGTCATTATAAAGTATTAACTATACTTTCATAACATTTACTATTTAATTCTTGATAAATCTGGGCATTGAAGATTTTTATAGTAATTACTATCGATATCATAAAGATTTTAATTAATGATGATATCCATGTGAATATCTACCACTGTTGTATCCACTGTTGTAATATCCATTGTATCCATTGTTGTATCCCCTGTAACCGTTGTTGTATCCATTGTATCCATTGTTGTATCCCCTGTAACCGTTGCTGTATCCATTGTATCCATGATATCCTCCATATGACCTATGGGGATCAGCATCCCTCTTTCCACGATAACCTCCATATCCATATCCATAGTTGTTGCTGTTGTAATATCCATGTCCTTGGCTATAACTAGGATATCCATAGCTTCCACTATAGTATCCGTTGTATCCTCCATAATGTCTAGAAAATTCAGCATGAAACATAAATTTCTGGTTTAATCTTTTATAAAGAACCAATAAGATGGTTGGAAATCCTAATCCATTGTGATTTGTGAAAATAAGATTTAATTCTTACCCAGCATATCCCTGACCATAGGACCTATGAGCATCAGCAGAGGCAGAGGCATCAGCATCAGCAGACGCATCAGCTTCAGCAGAGGCAAAAGCGTTAGCCTCGGCATCAGCATCAGCATCAGCATTGGCATCAGCATCCCTCTTTCCACGGATTCCATGGCCGCCGCCATATCCTCGATTATTGGAATATCCATGACCGCTTTGATATCCATGTCCATAACTATAACCGGGATATCCATAGCTTTCATGGGATCCACTATATACAGAGCCATATCCATGTCCATATCCATATCCATATCCACTTCTGAAAAAAAAATGTATATGGCTATGACTATAATAATTTATTACTATTTGATTACTAGCTATTTAGTAAGAGAAAAAACAAGATGAGTGATTGAGAGAGAAAATACTAGAGAAATAAAGATATATAATTTGATAAAATCTGACCTATGAGCATCAGCATCAGCATCAGCATCCCTCTTTCCACGGATTCCATGGCCGCCGCCATATCCATGATTATTGGCATAACCATGACTGTTTTGATATCCATGTACATAGCTATTACTGGGATATCCATAGCTTCCATGGGATCCACCATATCCAGAACCATATCCATGTCCATGTCCATATCCATATCCATGTCCATATCCATAACCACTTCTAGAAAATAAATGTATATGGCTATTGGCTATAATGATTGAGATTTAAACATATTCATCATAGAACTAGCGTATTTTTGCAATCCTTAATAAATCAGTAAGAAACAAGGTGAGTGCGTGAGAAGGAAAATAAAGTGTTGACCGAGTTGACCAGCCTACCAGGGATATAAAGATTTATAATTTAATGAAATCTAACCTATGAGCATCAGCATCAGCATCTCTCTTTCCACGGTGTCCATAACAACATTCTTCAGCATCTCGTTTAACTACATTATGTACTTCAGCAGCATCCTGTAGAGGAACCCATTCTCCATTGCTGCAGGATACATAGCAGGATACAAACAGGATACAGGCCTAGAGATACATGATATACGATATATATATTTATATACTTATGTTATATAACAGGATACTAATAGAATACTGAATTAGACACATGATATAGGATACAGGCTATAGGCTATATTTTACAAGATACATACACATATCAGAACACAATTAGCATTTATGGCAATACTGTGTAAGTTCTTGAAAAGGTGATATAATAGAATTCCAGTACCTATATACAATACAATTTCAGTAAATTTATATAATACAATTTCAGTACCTAATTATGATACAATTCCAGTACCTAATTATGATACAATTTCAGTACCTAATTATGATACAATTTCAGTACCTTTATATAATACAATTTCAGTACCTAATTATGATACAATTTCAGTACCTAATTATGATACAATTTCAGTACCTAATTATGATACAATTTCAGTACCTTTATATAATACAATTTCAGTACCTAATTATGATACAGTTTCAGTACCTATATATAATACAGTTTCAGTACCTATATATAATACAGTTTCAGTACCTATATATAATACAGTTTCAGTACCTATATATAATACAATTTCCGTACGTTTATATGATACAATTTCAGTACCTTTATCTATATATAAATTTGGCTTGTCTGTCTGTTTGTCTGTCTATCTGTCTGTCTGTTTGTATCCAATAAACGTCAAAACGGCTGAACCGATCGGGCCCAAATTTTTTGTGGGACATCTAGGGACCCCACTGAAATTTTAAATATTTGTCTCCATCAAAATTCGATCTTCATCAAATTTTTGAAAATTTTGAAAATCCACGAATTTTTTTGTGAAAATCCGCGAATTATTTTTGTTTTGTTTTACGATGTACACAAAGAGAACATGTTCACAATTAATTTAGAAGATGGGCGCGAAGCGCCCTCTAAGGCTAGTATAAAACAATTTCAGTACATATATATAATACAATTTCAGTACCTAATTATAATACAATTTCAGTACCTATATAAATTACAATTTCAGTACCTATATATAATACAGTTTAAGTACATATACATAATACAATTTCAGTACCTTTATATAATACAATTTCAGTACCTTTATATAATACAATTTCAGTACCTTTATATAATACAATTTCAGTACCTTTATATAATACAATTTCAGTAACTTTACATAATACAATTTCAGTACCTAATTATAATACAATTTCAGTACCTATATATAATACAATTTCAGTACCTATATACAATACAGTTTCAGTACATATATATGATACAGTTTAAGTACATATACATAATACAATTTCAGTACCTTTATATAATACAGTTTCAGTACCTATATATAATACAGTTTCAGTACCTATATATAATACAATTTCAGGACCTAATTATAATACAATTTCAGTACCTATATATAACACAATTTCAGTACCTATACATAATACAATTTCAGTACTTATATATATACAGTTTCAGTGCCTTTATATAATACAATTTCAGTACCTATATATGAAACAGTTTCAGTACATATATATAATACAGTTTCAGTACTTGTATATAATACAATTTCAGTACCTAAATATAATACAGTTTCAGTACCTATATATAATACAGTTTCTGTACCTATATATAATACATTTTCAGTACCTATATATAATTTAACTTCAGTACCTTTATATAATACAGTTTCAGTACCTTTATATAATACAGTTTCAGTACCTATATATAATACAGTTTCAGTACTTATATATAATACAGTTTCAGTACTTTTATATAATACAGTTTCAGTACCTATATATAATACAATTTCAGTACTTATATATAATACAGTTTCAGTACCTGATTGTATTATTGTATTATTGTATTGAAATATATGTGCAAAATCTTGTATTGAAATATAAGCTGACTATATAGAATATATATGAGAATGTATATAATATACATGTTTTATGTTATAATAAATATCTCTCTGTATATAATTACCGAGATGAGTGTAGGTGAACCCATTGCTGTGAAGAATTGGTTCTTTATAAGACTATGCTAGGTTAAACACACTTTTATACTTAAAACCACTTTCACGCGCATAAATTTCAAAATATGGGTTCAATTAAACAAATTATCTCAACAATGAAAAAATGAAATTTCTCTACTTTTTAAGTTAACACTAAAATTAAACAAAATGCAAATTTTAGCGGCAATAAATATTTCCGAAATTTACGGAATTGAAATTGAAAAAGGGTATTCCCCGTTTTAATCACCAAGTTGCTCCAAATATCGTAAGGCATCTTTTCTTTTTGAAAATTGCGTCTCAAGCTGACAATATTCATATTTCATATTTTATTCAACTACAAAGCACGAGAAAATACAAATAAAAAAATCACAATTTCCTATGTAGTTTGGACCCGCCTAACCAGAGTAGGTTGTTTTAATTGGTTGGCCCACTATAAACGAATGAGAATTGCAGATAAAAACAATGTACATTGTACAATTAAACGTGAGAATGATGATAAATCAGGAAAATGTTAAGGAGTAAGTGAGGGAGTATAAGGTAAAGGGAGGATACTCAGCATAAGGGTTGGAACAGAGGGTAACATAAGTTATTAAAATCATGTTTATGAATTATGAATATTATGACGGAAAATCACCCTTTTTGATATATTAACCACAGTTCATGTGATTTTTACCTTTTCTTTCGAAAAGTTTACTTTAATTTGTCTCGGAAAATATAATATGCAGTTTTTCTCTTTGCATATCGATAAAATAGATTTAATTCTCTCTTATAAAAACATTTGTTTAAGAAACATATTTAACAGAAAGCACCTTTTTTAGGAAAACAAATTTTAAAGTAAAATACACGTACATCAAACTAAGTAGAACGAAATGTATCCTGTGTACTGAAATATGTTTAGTCTTTTTTATTTGTCAGTCAAAGTCCGTTAAAAAAAGCTTAAGCGTTCTTCTATACTTAAAAGTTTAAAATGTTGGAAAAGGGTTCTTAAGTTAAGATTAGATTAATTTTAATAAAAATCTCTTGATTACCTTTTCAAGACCTTATTGGTGTAAATTTATGTAACTTTATAGTTTCAATTGAGCGCCGGCTTAAATCTTGAAAAATTTAATACAAAGGAATTGAGTCTTTGTAACAAACTCAAATTTTCTCATTCCTCTATCTTTGCAAGCTGATGGTTAAAACCTTCGATATTATAAAGTCAGATTTTGTGATTCAAAATAATTCATAGTTTGAAATATCTAAGGTCTGCTGCATTGGGTTGTAAAGATATAGGGATTAGAAAAACAGTGTTTGTGGCAAAAACTCAATTCCTTTAAGTGGAACCAACTAAATTTAAACCGCAGCTCAAATTCTTTAAATTCGGTCTCAGACATCGCTTTTAATGGAACCGCTATTGATCAGGCGTTGCCATCAAGGGTCATTTGAAATTACGCTTACAGTCCCTTTAAGTCTAGAACAGTAAATGGCACTTCTTTTTTGAATCATGATATAATATTTTTTTGAATTTTCATCACATAAGCTAAACTAAAGAACTGAAGAGAAATATATTTTCAAAAACTGTGGAACTAATACCTACTTTACCTACTCATTTAGATCATTTAGATTTGGATCATCATTAAATCCGAATTTGAAATCATTAATATAGTAGGTAAATGAGAACACAGAGATCACGAACTTTTAAAAAAATAAAAAACTTAAAATTATTTGCAATTTTAGTAATATCAAAGAAATCTTAAGATTGTGATAAAATTGTTTTCGGATGCAGTATCGATAGGCATCCATTTATTTTATTTTGAAATGTCGCATTGACTTGTCCTTAGGTTTGACACCAGCTCACTTATTCCTTTTGCAGTCTTTTAACTGTTTCAAGTTTGCGTTTTAAAAGAGTTAAAAGAGTAATTCAGAAACATGATTTTTACTGGAAAAAAAACAAACAGATTATGTAGTTCAAGCAATGTGGAATTATAAAAATTTATATATCATATATGTCATCATAGTATTTGCTTAAGGTTAGAGAGCACATCTTAATACCTGGCACGGAATGAGATAATATAATTTAAAAACTAGTTTTTTTCAGTTGCGTAGACATGGGTAGTTGAATTGATTAAATGCATAGTTTTTAAATATTTGTAATTAAATGTATGCATTATATTCAGGGCGAGTCAACAAAAAAGTCTTCATAAAAAAAGTTCTTTGTGAAATTATTTTAAATATAATGTTTACTGATGTTTTAGAAGCTTTTCATTTTTGTAACTACTAGACCCTCCAAAAAAAAAAGCAGAAAAACAAATAAAATCTTGAAACAAGATTAAGAGATATCAATAGATTAGGCCATAAACGTAGTTAAAAGTGTCACAATCTTTAAAACGGTCTAAATTTTTTGAGACATTCAACGTTTCTTATTTTGAAGATCTATGCATGCTATGATAGTTTTGCTAAAACCATTTAAATTGAACTAAAATTGCAAATTTACTGCGCACAATTTCGCGGATTTTTTTCTATTTAACTGCAACCGATCTCAATGAGATTTACAGATTAGAATTAATATATTAGATAATTTGTGTTCTTCAGTTATACTTCTGTTTTACGGAAGAAAAAAATGTTCACCTCATATCCAAATTGTTTCGTAAATTTATCTATAATGATGTAACAATAATAACATTTTCATCATTGTAATTTTTAAAAATAAGGTAATTTTGTTAGCAATCAAATTAATCATTAGATTTTTTAATTATATATTACTATATTAAAATTTAACATTCAACTGTATAGTTCCAGATCACATAATATTACGAAACAAAAATTTAATGGTTTTGTGAGAATTTCAAGGTTCTTGGTCTAAAATGTGCTCTTGCTAGCACCCTGTTATCAATTGTCATTATTTCATAGCTTTCATCAAGATGTTCTGCTCCTACCCCACTGTATCCCAACATTTCGCGGATTCCATCCTCAATATTTTCGTAGATTTTCACTCCGGACACATTTAGGTCGGATTTATCTCCGCCATCTTGAATTCTATTTAGAGGACGGATTTTGAGGTTAACCGGCGTCGAGGTCAAATCTGGGAATCCATAATTTGTGGTGTCCTCAAGGTTTGCGGTCTTTTCTCGCGAAAGAACCGGATTATATCTCGCGTGAAAGTCTTTAATCCAATGATCGTCCTCGAACGACTTGGAAGACGAGGTGGTCAGTGAAGACGAATTTTCAAACTTTTTCCTTCGACTATTTAAAAATTTTGAATATTTCTGATAGAGATCCATTTTAGAGGTCATGTCTTCAAAACTAGCATTCAAGTCGACATTTTTTATCCGAAACAGTCGTGGTTTCCGGATTTTTGGAATTCTAATAGCAAATCTAAAATGATTGATTTGAACTCCTATTTCTGTATACATCTTCTCCATGTTGCTGTCAGTGAGCTACTGGTAACTCAAACTGATGACTACTGAATGTCTCTGTATGACAGAATAAACCATGAAGGAGGGGGGGGATGGGTCAGCTGCTCCGCGCAGTGGGAAGCAGACACCAGACTGACCGAAGCAGCTGTGCAGAAAACAGGGCAAATATTTATACAAAATATTTTTAAAAATTTCGTGCAAAAAAATTCTTTGTATATATGAAAAATTTTCATGTTTTGTAAAAATCCCTGTTTTCCGAACCTAGCGGTTTGAAGAATGGGTAAAGCGGGGGGGGGGGGGGGGGGATACGCTGTTTAAACCTAAGAGTATGTGGGGTCCATTGTTAATGAATGACCCCTTTGGCCCCCCCCCCCTATCTCAATTTATCAAATCATTACACATATCCTGATAGGTTCAATTACCCTAATGAAAGATAATTTTCCTTAAAAAGCAAAATTATTAATGTAATTTTTCTTAACAAGTTTTAATCGTAATTAATTGTGTTTTTATTTAATTGTTTATTGACACTTGGATTTTTTTTAGACAATTTGTATAAGACAAATTTAATTTGAATGAAAAAGAATTAAAAGATATGAATATGATTGCAACAGCCACTATGCAATTGCATCATTTGTGTTATAAATGGCCATTTCACGGTGGACTAAGCCAGTGGGGTCGGTCAAATAGGCCTAGGATTAGGCCGAGTACTGTAAAAAGTCTAAACGCGCCATGGGAGTTGTCATAGTTCTCCGAGGGGACTATACCAAGAAACTCTGGGCAGGTCCTGTTGGAATTCAAATTTACTACGGCCCAGAGTGATTTTAAAGTTATTGTACGCATTAAAGGAAAAATATATATATAAAAAAAAATTGCCATAAAACAATCATTGATCTCCATCTTATGCAGATTTAAAGATTAATCTATTTCTTCTTCGATATATCCGGTGCTCGTTATACCCAGGTTAGTAATAGTTTTTTTTAACGAAGTGCAGTTAAAACTAACGAACTATAGTTTGGAACTTTTGAAAAACTAAAACAAAACAACGATATTTTAGTTTTACTGAAAAAAACAGTCATTTTTTAAATATTATTTTAAGTTAATTTTAGTTTTTAAAGATTTAGTTTATAAGTTTGGATCTCGAGATCAATTGTTCTAGATTAAAATGCAATAATCGTATTCTCTGACATGTTATTTCTGACAAACATCGTTTTCAGGTCCGTTTTTAAATATTCAAAGTTTTGTGGAGGCTCCACAAGAATTATAGATTTTTCAAAACGATTAAAATATCGTTTTTCGTTCGGAAAATCGTTTTTGCTTATAGTAATATCTTTGATTAGAGAAAAAAAAAACCGCATAATGTAATTAAAGCAAACTTATCATTAATACAATTTTGCAATTTAATTAAAAACTCGAATTTTTGTGAAAAAAAATTACCGTCATAAAAAACAGTTTGTCTTTCTTTGTACAATTAGTGTAGATCAATCTTTGACCGTAAGTGAAAAAATTATAGAATTAGTATAAACCCTTATGATTGACATCAAGAGGGGGAGGGGGTTGTCGTAGGGAAGCGGGCCGGTTAGGGGGGGGGCCGTCCGCGTATGGCATCATCTGTCTAAAGTTGATATTCATTGCGCTAGGTTTGAACAGATTAGAGATGG